AGCGGGGACGAAGATGTTGTGGAAGAGGACGCCAGGGCGGCAGAAGCTTGGTTTGGTGTCATTTTAAGATAGAAAATTTCTATTTAAAAAGAAGAAACCCAACTTATGGGACAATATAGTTTGATAAAGAGTACATTTATATACACGTTTAAGCCAGAATTATTTAACATTTAAATATGATTTCCCTATGACTTTAAAGACGCTCAGAAAAAGAGGAAACACAAACCAGAAGCTGAACTGTGAGACCTGGAGAAGAGATGAGAGGGAAGCCAGACTGCTTGGCTAAAATAAAGCTGAACAGCTGATTAGATTAAAACCAACTGAATGTTCTGTGCTGAATAGTTTGACCTTTACTCCGCTTCAGGGACCCTAACCCCGCGTGACGTCACGTGACGGTGGATTTAGACACATTAAGGTTAAATCTGATGTGTTACTGTGGTGATTTTCTGCTGCGTTCACCTGGAAGATCTTCTGTTTCTGAGGAACTTTGTTGTCCACCTGCCTGCGGGCAGAGCTGCAGATGCTCCGCCGCGCCACCTGCTGGACAGCCTAGGAAACACAGCCAGAGACGAAACAAACTCACTCAAAGGGACACAAATCCATTCAATATTTCAACAAATATGACTTAGACCGAGTTTAGGATTAGAAGCACAAGCATTCAGGGACTGAGAGGACAAGTATTTAAAGATAAAACCTGCCCGGAAATACTCGACCCCGGCTAACAGTCGGAAGCTAAAAGAAACAAGCTAAGCTAAAGAGCTTTAAGCTAACTGATGAAACACCATCAGCTCCAATAACAGCAGCAGCCAGAACAGCAGCTATCTGACTAAAATACTCACTATCATGTGTCTGAACATCTTTCTCTGCCGGCTGGTAGCACGATTCTGGCACAAGGACACCGGAACTCCGCTGCTTCTTCTTCTCGCCTCTTACGTCAAACAACGGTTTGATGCTCTACCGCCACCTGGCGGCGAGGACCGCCAATCACGCAAAAAATAAAAAAAAAATGAAAAAAATGAAAAAAAATATTGATACAATTTATCATATTTGTCTTGTCTTGTTTATATCTCCTTAAAAATGTTTGTTTTTTTGACGTTCCCTAATTAAATATTTCATGTTTCGAATCTTCCTCTACGTACGGCAGCGTATAATGGGACGTTCAAAGACGAAAATAAAATTGGAATTTACATATTTGAGTTTAAAGTGGAATTTTTATAAGAATAAACACGAAGATTTACAAGTAAAAAAAACACAAATTTAGGAGGTTATAAAGATGCAAATGTATAAGGAAACAAGTAGCAAATGTACGAGAATAAATAGGCTAATTTAAATGCAACTTTACAAGAAAAAACATGCAGGTTTAAAGATTCTAACCATGCAAATTTAGAAGAAAAATTAAGCAAATTCAGCACAATAAACATTTACGAGCTTATAAACATTCAAATTTATTGTATCATTCATTTTAACTGAAAAATGCTCCATGAGGCCATCGCCTCACTCCATTGCTAAAGTCCAAATTAATGATACATTTACATGAGCTTAATGCAGCATACTTTAACTTTTATTGTTCTGAAAATGTATGTTTGAATCTTGTACATTTTCTACTGTTTTCTCCTAAATTTGCATTTTCCTTTCTTATTAATTTGCTATTTTTTTGTATGTTTTAATTTCGTACATTCCTGTTTTCAGTGGTACATTTGGTTGTTTATTCTCTTAAATAAACTACAAAGTATAAATTCCTTTTTTTTTGTACTTTTTAATGGCCCTAATACTCCGCCGTATGTAAGGCAGCCATGTTCATGTTATTTTATATTTGTAGTTTATTTATCATTTATCATATTTTGTTCCAACTCTTCCTCTTTTATCTTCTCCATCTCTCATCGTTTGCTGTAAACGTTCCTTTAGCTTTTAACTTTCCTTATAAACTCTGTATATTAACTTCCTAACATAAAACAATAATTTATAAAAGCTTTAAAATATCAGAATTATGAGACATGACCTTTAAATGACTGCAGCTGCTTCTTGTTCGCTCAGATAAATCCCACATTGACGCTCTGCTGCCCCCTACAGGAGGCTTCGCCGAACTACAGGTTGTCTTCTGAACAGCTAGATTTCCAGATGTTCTCATTTTTTATAATTATTAGATAAACAGGCATATTTCTAAAGTGATCAGAGCTTTTTTAGCATTTAGAGGAAATTTAAATGTTCTAAATCAGTTCAAAGAAGCTGGGAGTGTTTCTCTATAGGTTAGAAAATCATTTAAAAACTTGCTTTTGTGATCATTCTGATCCTTTTGGATTCAGAAGCTGAAATCCAATATGTCATTTTCTAAAAAAAAAAAAAATATGGATATTACATCAGCCACATAAAAGCCTTTTTAGGCTGTGTTGTCGTCTCTACAATCATTAAGAAGAAGTTTGAATGTTAAAAGGAAAGTTTAGCAGAAGGAAAAAATGTGGCAGAGTAAGATTGATGAGAAACAGGAAGAACGATGATTCCAGAATCCGGAGCCCAGCGGCTCTGAACCAGGCGCCAATATGACCTTTCAGATGCATCTGATCGAGAGATGATGTTTGTTTACATAGTTGATTTTATAGATCGTATTTTATTAGTCTGTGCAGGAAGGTTTTATATGGGCCTAATTTCTGCTGTGACATTCTAGCGTAAAGGTGATGTTCACAGTCACTAAGTTTGTCCGCTCTGAGCTGCCGTAGTTTAAGATGTCTGCCTCTACAAATGAGAAACCTGACATAAAGATTAAAACTTTTAGTGCTTATATGAAAATAAATAACACACTTATGGATAATATCCAACATTTCTCTTAGTAATTCCCTAAAATTATTACACCCTGGAGGTTTAATTGGACTTGATAAAGAAAGAAAAAAAAAAAAAAAAAGAATCCAGTAGATCTGATCATTTCGCTCTGCCTTCATCACAGTGAAAATTATTGTGATAAAAGGAAAGATGTAAAAATCTAAGTGTTTTATTATTATTTTTTTTATTGTATCTCCTCCGAATCGTCCAGAACCGCAGGAAACTTTCTCTACTGCAGAAAATAATCAAGACCAGTTGGTCACTAACATAAAACAGGATGTTTGTTGTTTTTTCTGTCCTTTGAACAGACATCAGTGTAGCTTTATCTGCCAGACTTTGCAGCTTGAGATTTTCCAGGCATGATGTCACGCTCTGACTCAACAAGTCCAGGAAAAACCAGAAAGCAGAGCGGAACGGTTGACCTGATCAGTCATCATCCACTGCATTCAAAACAACTAAATCTGTTTTCTAAATGTCCAGGACATTGAATTATTTTTTCCAAGTTTAAAAACATCAAAGGACTTGAAGGACGTGTGGGAACCTGTTTATTGGTCTGATGGAATATTCCTGATCTGGTTCCTTTACATCCGGTCTGTTATTCCTGGAGGTTCTCTGCAGGGTTTACATTTATTTCCTAAAACAACTCAGATGTTTTGGAAGCCAGAAAGTCGCTGGTTGTCCTTGAGTCTGTGCTGCAGAGAGGATGTCTGGAAGTTGGACTCTGGGTCCACCTTAACCCAACCTTTAAAGGGGTCATAGAATGCAAAAGCAAGTTTCCATTTGTCATAGATGAATAACGATAGTATAAA